GGTATCTTATAATGAGGTCTGACTGGGTCTAACAGTCAATTATCTCTTTTTTACATCTGTATTAAGATTTCACTGTTTTGGATACAGACAGCTGGTACTTGTTGCTTCTGCACTGTGCTAACTCCAAAGGGAAGCTTTAAAACTTCTTTAAGCCAAATCTTGGTTTTCAGAACTTCAGTATCTAGCAGATACAAACTGTCTGACTGATGGCTAAAACTGATTTTTAACACTAGCCAAAGTGCAATAATAAAACTGAAAAAAAAAAATCCATATCCAGAAGTTTTAACCCATAGGGTTATCTTGGAGAATTTTTCAGAACCAAGAACAAGACTATTTGGAGTTAAGGCTCCCAAGAAGAGGAACTAAATTGAAACTTGTATAGTTTTATGAAAAACAGAAGCAAACCACACTGTGTTTTTATTTTTTAAAAATTTAAGAAGGCAAAGCATTTCTTCTAAAACGTTAATCTCTTTCACTAAGCTCTTTAAGGAATCTTAATTAATTCTTGAGATTCTACTAGCCCTAAGACAAGTCTTAAATTATATTTACTTCGGGGTACAAATTAGAATGATATTTTGTGAAAGCCATTTGAAAATATTTAGCAGAAGTCAACATGTATACTCACTGACAAGCAATTCCAGTTTTAGAAATTTATTCTAAGAAAATGGGCAATGGCATAGAAACAAGGATGTTACAGCATTGTTTATATATCCAACAACATGGTCAAGTAAATTTGTGGTTCATCATATAATGGAATACGACGGTCATAATACAAAAGATAAAAATTACATCATAAAATTATATATGATAAGGAGAAGTAGTCACTGCATATTGCTGAGGGAAAAAAGCAAGTTATAAAGCTGTAGTACTATATGATCTCATTTCTGTTTAAAATATGTATGTGCATAGCAGTACCTGGACAGATACAAATTAATATGTATAAAATATACTTTTACATATTTGGTATAAATAGCATAAACATATACATTGATATGTATAAAGTAATAGTATTTATCTTTGAGTTTGGGATCATAGGTAATTTTCATTTACCTTTCTTGAGCATGTTTGCATTCTGATTTTTCCACAGTGAACATCTTTTTTTTTTTTTTTTTTTTTTGAGATGGAGTCTTGGTCTGCAAACCAGGCGGGAGTGCAGTGGCACGATCTTGGCTCACTGCAACCACCGCCTCTCGGGTTCAAGTGATTCTTGTGCCTCAGTCTCCTGAGCAGCTGGGACTACAAGCACGCGTCACCATGCCCAGCAAATTTTTGTATTTTTAGTAGTTTTTGCAATGTTTTTGCAAGTAGATTTTGCAGTGTTGGCCAGGCTGGCCTCAAACTCTTGACCTCAGATGATCCACCTGCCTTGGCCTCCCAAAGTGCTGGGATTACAGGCGTGAGCCACCAGGCCTGGCCAGAGTGAACATCTTTTAATTATATAATAATCAGTAAAATATTTACTTGAGGCAACCATGTAATTGTTGGTATTTTTCAAAGTTTTATAATGTGTGTACTATGGAAGAAAGTGACGGAGGGGAGAGAAAGAAGAAGAGAAAGAGGGAAGAAGGCAGACAGACCATTATATTGTTTATTATTTTATCTTGTGTATGTGCTATAATGTTTTAAGTTAATCTCAGATTTAACAATCTGGAAATAAATTTTCAATGAAACATAGTAGTGAAGAGTTAATGCCCATAAGATTGAAGCCATTCACATAGATTGAATTTTTCTCCTCTCCTTAGAAATGCCAATTTTGTTGTGTAAGGAGCAGGTGGCTATCTTTCTCAAAACTTTTTTGGGAGCTCACCAAGCTTCATCTAACCAAACCCAATCTGGCATATGGACTTCATCCATATGGTCATATGAATCCCTGGGCAAGTTCCTCCTGCCATGTGTCTAATCGGTTTCAAAAAATCCATGCTCGAAGAAGGGTTCCATAGCTACATGAGTCTGTGATACTGTGGGACTAAGGAACATAGTGACAAAGAGACCACTCTACCTGCTAAACTGGAATCTGGTACCATCACTATTACCAAATATTGGCAGTACATATCTGAACAAAGGAGGAATCCTAGTAATTCTGAGTGAAAAATTTCTATCATGCATTTCAGTGTAGATCTACTAATAACACTTCTTTAAATGCCTTGTTAGACAGTGAAATCTGGGAATAATTTTCAAACACCATACGCACTGTTTACAATAGAATCATATTTCTTTTCTTTCTCTCCCTCTCCTACTTTTTTTTTTTTTTTTTTTGCATAAAAAGTATAATGCTGCTGAATGGTACCCAAATGTCTGTTGTATACCATGCCAATACAGCAGCTCAGCCAAAAATGTGAATAGAATAGTTTGCCAAGTAAAAGAAAACATAACAAATTGGTAATGGTTTCTATCTTGACAGAAAATGAAAATGATCCCTCAATGTGTGGCCACTCATGTGGACACATAAAAATGTCTTAGAAGCAATCATTTTACCTCAGATAACAGACCCTGACAGTGTAGTACAGCACACTGGCTGACTTTCACTTCTCAAAAAGCGGCAACCGTGACCTACAAAATAGTCTGGTAACCATGTAATTTATGCATAACACACATGCACATGCCATGCACTCATAATATTTGTTATAAATCATTCTGAATATAAGACTCCTTTTCTGAGAAGAATATACTTTATGAGAGAGAATCTAAATCACCAGAGACTTGAGAAAGCTAAACTGAACAGAAATGATGTTGTTGCTAATCAGGTTACAAAATCCAAAGGTCTAAATTGCAATAAAAAGGCATTACATAAGGGCCCTATATATGCTATCTGATTCTGCATAGTGCCTTGAACATGAAAAGTATTTTTGTTAGATGTTAGATAAAACAAATACCAAAAAAATTCTGGAGGTGCATAGGGTACAGCTCTGCCATTCTGCTTAGGAAACTGCAATTGAAAGCAGAAATGAACCTCCTGACGACCTGCTAGTGGTCCCTTTAACTTGTTCCCCATCTCTTCACCATTTATTTTTTTCTCCCAATGGAGAATTAGCCAACATCATTGACCAGTGATTTTTTTCCCCATGTCCAGTGAAGTTTCCCCATTTTAAACTTTCTAATGAGAATGTTAGACAGAAAATTGATTGTATAACCAAATAACATGAAAAACAGGAATGGCACTTTTAAAAATACATCATTGGTATCTGAAGCTAATGAGGAATTCAAAATGAGAGAATACTGAACCAAGGGGCTAGGAAGAACCTTGAGAAGTTAAATGGTCTTGCCAAGTTGAAAGTAAATTTGAATCCTGTGGGTTATGAGTTTCAAATGAATCTTCTGGGGTTTGAATTTGTTGGTGACTTTCCTGTTCAATAAAAAAGGACTTAAATGGCTTATAAAAAGTTTAAAAAAACTTATTGGGCATCAAACTGCTCTTACAAAACACCATCTTGATGAGTTAAGTGTAAATGAATCAGAAACACATGGGTCATATTTCCTTTAAAAATGCATATGGATTCAAAAATAAAGGGAAGAGGACTTGGCAAAACATTTTTTGTGTGGTGGCTGAACCTAAAACACTTGAAAGAGATTTTGAGACATTCAAGGAATCCCCTCACCCCACCCCCCCCAAAAAAAACAAGAACCCAAAACAAAACTAAACTAAACCTGTCCAGTCATATAAAACAAAAAGTTCTACACAATGTGCATTTATCTCTATGGGTCAATCAACATCCACTGAGCCTTTGCCTTTGGCACTAAACTATGGAAGAAGACAGCTTCTGCCTTCAAGCAACTTTGAAGTTTGGTATAAACAAATCTATGTAAGTAATAGAAACCTATTAAAAGATATCCAGGATCTTACAAAAACTGGCATCGTAACCCACATCATATGAAAACTATAAATTAATTGAGAAATAGACAAGTGCTTTCAGGGTCCTAGGTTAGATAGGATTCATTCCATTCAAATCATCATGCCCTCAGCCCTTTTGATTAAAGTTATATACAGTTGCAGAGTCTTACGTGTTTGAATGTTTTCTTAATTTAAGTGTTTTTATGTCTTTTTAAATGTGTGTTCCAGCCCTCCTTCCTCCACCCTCTAGATTTGTGAGTGCTCAACAAATCTTGCTGACTGGTTTCCTGGAGGATGGGAATGTTGAACAGAGTTTTGAAACAGGAGAGATGCTGTTTGGCAGAGAGAACTGAGGCTATGATTCTGGGTTGGGGTAATGGTACATGTGATGGTTCAGAGGCTCCAGAGGGTGAGTCATGTGTAGGGGGTGATACATTGGCTTGCTTGCAGCAATGTGGCTGAGCCAGGGTGTAGTGGGAGGTGGAGGCAGTTAGGTGTGGGGAGGCCTAATACACTGCATGTAAAGTCAACTTGAGGACAGAGGGGTGTGATAAAGAAAAACACAATTTTTATTCCTTTTTTTTTTTTTTTTGCCAGTATAGGATAAAGTTCTAAGCAAAGGACATGTACGTGTCATTACTTTATTTCTTATCAGTGTCTTAAAAAGCTGAAAAATATCCAAAGATAAAAACAAAATTAACTTGTATGAGTTGCTAGGATCCTGTAGATCATAACTTTGAAGAGGAAGTTAGTAGGATTATGAAATAGATTATTGAGTTCTAAAATGTTGTTTGTGGGAAAATGTAAGAAATTATTGATTTATTGTCTTCTAAGGTTGTTTTCGAGTTGTTTAATGTGAGTCTCATCTTTTCCACAATATTAGAAAGTTAGTTAGAGCTGGGATAGTGTCATATATTTCTTGTGCATTTTTTACTGGCTAGCCCAATGCTGGACACATCAAGTGCTCAATAAATGCTTGTTTCTTCAGTGCTTGGTGCGTTTATTTATGTTACTTTATATTGAACTGAAATAAAGTCAAAAGTTGCCAAGGTCCTATAATGGTGATGGTAAAGTCTGAAAACAAAAGGATGATATAGTGGAAATGTACCAGTAGGGTCTCTGCTCTGAGCCTACTTGTTCATGGTTAATATACAAAAATCAAAGCCCTTACCATCCTTCATCATCTTCTACTTCTGTTTCAGGAATGTCATTTTCAGGCGTTTCAGCAATTGCTTGAGTAAGTTTAGATTTAAACTGGTTCAGCAGTGCAAGGGTCTGAAATAACAATTAGACTGGTAAGTTTTCTGATAAAGATAAATATAATTTTAAAAGAGATGCTTAAGTTTGTTAGAAAAGGAAATATCCTACTTGGATGTAAAACAAAATGTTCGATTTTGAACAAAAAGGACAAAACTACCTTTAGGCTGCAATAGTGACATTAATAAACCTTGACATTAATAAACCTTGACAGTTTGGATTTGCACTGACATTTCCCCTCAGAGATAGGTGACTATTTTCTGATTTGGGAAACAAAAGTTTGCTTATGTAGAAGACAGAAGGCCCAACTTTTAAAAATACATATTTGGCCTGGTGCATTGGTTCATGTCCCAGCACTCTGGGAGGCCAAAGTGGGAGGATCTTTTGAGCCCAAGAGTTCAAGACCTCAAGACCAGTAGGGGTAATGTAGTGAAACTCCATCAGTACAAAAAGAAAAGAAAAAAAGTCAGATGTGGTGGTGTGCATCTGTAGTCCCAGTTACTCTGAAGCCTGAGGCAGGAGGATCCCTTGAGCCTAGGAGTTTCAGGCTGTAGTGACCTATGATTGTGCCACTGCACTCTAGCGTGGGTAACAGAGTGAGACTCTGTCTCTAAATAAATACATAAAATAAAATAAAATAAAAAATTTGTGCTCATTTATAGTTAAGGTTTTAGTGTCTATAAGAAAGAAAGGTAATTCATTAAGTTACATGAAATCAAAAATAAAAAGACAAATAGTATTGTTTATTTGACAAATTTCCAAAAATATAAAAATATCGATATTGGGAAGGTAGATTGAACATATTAACTGTTGGAAAATGGGTAAATTGGAATATCTTTAGAAAGCTGTTGATATGTATTGGAAACTTTAAGATGATCATTCCCCTTGACTGAGTAATTCCAATCCTGGGATGATAGAAAAATAACATGAAACAGAGAAAATGGCTTAAGCACAAGATGTGCACTGCAGCATTATTCATACAAATGGAAAAATGAAAACCTATTAAACGTCTATCAATAACAAACTAGATAAATTTAGTAAAAAGCAATAAATACGCTATTTAAAAATTTTATTTTTATTTTTTATTTTTATTTTTTTGAGACAGAGTCTTGCTGTGAGGCCCAGACTGGAGTACAATGGTGCGATCTTGGCTCACTGCAACCTCCGTAGCCCAGGTTCAAGCGATTCTCCTGCCCCAGACTCCTGAGTAGCTGGGACTACAGGCACTTGCCACTATGCCCAGCTAATTTTTTGTATTTTTAGTAGAGATGCGGTTTCATCATATTGGCCAGGCTGGTCTCCAACTCCTGACCTCAAGTGATCCACACACCTCAGCCTCCCAAAGTGTTGCGATTTCAGGTGTGAGCCACTGTGCCCGGCCTAAATATGCTATTGTTATTAAAAATTATAAATATGCTATTGTTATTAAAAATTATATACATGAAACATTGCATTCTATTGTTAAGTGAAAGATGAACACAAATATTGTGTTGAGTATATTTTAAAAAATGTGTGTGTGTAGAATTCCTGTGAATTCTTGTTTGCCTCCTATGCTCTCCATGAGCAAGAAGAAGCAAGTGGCTATAAATTTATAACCACACTATCTCCTGGATCTTAACAGTCTACTTCAGAATTTGAGCAGACAATAGAAGCTAGAAAAATGTTTTTCTACTTGACAGATTTACAGAGTACATCATTGTGAAATGGGATAAAATACTACCTGTCCGAGAAATCAAGGGCCTAATCAAGATTTTGGTATGTTGAATTCAATATAGAAATCCTCACATTTCGTAAGGAAAAAGATGTGTGACAGTTCAACATGTGAATAACTGGTATATTAAAGGGTCAAAATACATTCCTAAGCTCCAGAATTTATCTAGAGAGTATCAATAAGATCACAGTTCATGAAAAAGTTAAGTAGGTCTGGGCACTCTAGAACCCAAGCTTAATAAAGACAAATGGTGCCAAAATAACTGCAAGAAAAAGGTGGTTGGTTATTGCTTAAAAAATGATAGTAAAAAACATCTTCTACTTTTCTGCAAAATTTAATGCCCACATAGACAACAGCTAAAAATACATACATTATCATAGTTACTGAATGAGATGAGTTTTGGGGAAAATTTATAAGTTCCTATAGAATATCATTATAGGCATTCTAAGGGCTGCCGAGTATGTTAGCATTTACATATTTTATATGTTTTTAGAGATTATAGAATTAAGCTCTTCAAACAATGTTAACAGATAAAGCATCCCTTGTTTTTTAATCTTATTCATTAAAAATACTCCATTGCTTACTCTTATTATATTTGCTTATTAATAAGAAAACAGATTACTGTAAAAATATTGAAAAATAGAAGTAAAATAACTATTATCCCACCACTCAGAATAACCACTGTTAACATTTTGGTAAATATACTTCAAGGTATTATGTGTGTGTATGTGTATGTGTTTATATATCTGTATCTATATCTACTATTGCATAAATATATCTCTCCATATGCCTATCTCCATATCTATCTATTTAATCTATATGATATGGTCTGGCTGTGTTGTCACCCAAATCTCAACTTGAATTGTATCTCCCAGAATTCCCATGTGTTATGGGAGGGACCCAGTGGGAGGTAACTGAATCATGGGGGCCGGTCTTTCCCATGCTATTCTCGTGATAGTGAATAAGTCTCACAATATCTGATGGGTTTATAAGGGGTTTCCACCTTTTCTTCTTCCTCATTCTCTCTTGCCACTGCCCTGTAAAAACTGTCTTTCACCCTCCGCCATGATTGTGAGACCTCCTCAGCCAGGTGGAACTGTAAGTCATTTAAACCTCCTTTTCTTCCCAGTTTTGGGTATGTCTTTATCAGCAGTGTGAAAATGGACTAATACACCATAGCTTAAAAGTAAACACTATCTTTTTTTTTTTTTAAGAGATAGAGTCTCACTCTGTCACCCAGGCTGGAGTGCAGTGGTGCAATCATGGCTCACTACAGCGTCAACCTACTGGGCTCAAACGATCCTCCTGCCTCAGCCTCCCAAGTAGCTGGGACCACAGATGCACACCACCATGCCCAATTATGATTTTTTTTTTTTCTGTAGAGATGGGGGTCTCCCTAGGTTGCCTAGGCTGGTCTCAAACTCCTGGGCTCAAGGGATCCTCTCATCTTGGCCTCCCAAAGTCCTGGGATTACAAGAGTGAGTCACTATGCCTGGCCCTTACTAATTTTTAATGATGGACGTTTGCATACTTGGAAATGTCTCTTTTAAAAGCACAAAGAAAAATGAAAACAAAAAAGACTTCTAAGTGGAATGAAATTTTAAAACTTCCTAGAAAATTATACTAGACCTGGATCTTTCTCCCTGAGTTACAAGTGGCAAGGCAGTTTGTTTTTAGAGCCAATTATTGAGCCACTGGCATTTGCTCAAAGAGGGGAGACTGTGGCAAACAAAAAACATCCTCTTGGCTATTTTTAGCTTCTTCTATATTTAAGATTAGACTTTCTCCTGCTGTATTACAAAGGCAAGAGAAGATACTGGGCAGAAAAAAAATCACAAAAATAATGGGACACATTTGTTATAGTGTGAAGAAGACAGGATTTGCATGGAGGCATTTTGATTGGCATCTGCAGGAGAATTATTCAGTTATGGCTTTTCCTGAGGCATGAATGGCCAACTACTTCCAGGAAGGCTCTTTCAGCACAGTGAGAGCCTTCCCAGAATGTAGAAGCTATGCTGAAGGGGCCCAATCTTGGCACACTCTGTTTATGCATATCTAACACAAGAGTCTCCCAGCTGGGCCCTGTGCCTCTGGTCCTGTCCTGTATCCAGTCTAATCTCCATACTGCAGCCCAGTTAGAGAGATCTTCCCAAAATGAAAGTGAGATCATATCACTTCCTTCTGTCAATGGTTCCCCATGGCCTTTAGGATAAATTCTAAACTACTTAACATGGTTTGAAAATACCTTGTACGAACTTACGTTTGCTTACCTCTTCAGCCTCATCTTTCTCCTTCTCTTATAGTTTATGTTACAGTCATATTTAATATCTTTTAGTTCTTTGCAAAGAGGTCGAAGACTTTTCATGTACGCACTGTTCCTTTTGTCTAGCCATACCCTGCCTCCACCTGGCGGTCTCCTATACAACCTTCTAAGTTCAGCTGACAAATCATTTCCTTAGGAAGGCCTTCCCAGATTCTTAAGCCATGTTAGGCCCCTCTGTTATTCAACTACATGGCTTCCTGTACCTACCGTTTCATAATGATCACCCCCTTTCACTGGTGTTACTTGTTTAACTAGCTGTTTTTCCTGATAGATCAGAGAGAGCAGGGATGTGTTCACGTGTTTACTGCCAAATACAGTGATTAGTACATGGTAGGTTCTTAATCATTATTTGCTACAAGAGATTGGGTGGAGGGGAAGGAATGAATGAGTCATCCTTAGTATCTCTGGTAGTATAGTCATTATGGTTGCTATTTAGAAGACTTTGTGATTTCATGAAAACAAGTTAAAATGTACTTTTTCTTAATGAAATTAAGAAATTATCCAGACATGTTGTTTGGGCTTTTTAATTTACTTTTATTTTGCCTGTTTCATTTATACAACTAAAATGGCGTGTCTATATATATATAAGGCAGTTTGTTTATATCCATATATATAAATATGGATATTTATGGATAAAATATGGATTTTGGCATGGCAGCACCAAAAATAAATGATTTCAGTCTGTCCTCTAACTTTTCAACATGAAGGGCTGCTTCAGAGATTTGTTTTATCAAGTGTCAAGTACTGCATGGCACATAGTGCTGACTCCCAAATTGTTGAGCTAGCTTCCTATCTCTTTTCATTCTTGATTTCTGACAACTTCTTAATATTACTACCTAAAGATTCAGGAATTACTTGTAACAAACACACTTTTATTACAATAGAAGTCAGCTAGTAGACCAAATAACTTATTTCCAGACAGTGTACAATTTCAAGCTAGGCTGACGAGTCAGCATGTGAGATGTCGGGCTGGAAGCAACTCTCTCATCATTTATAATCACCACTTCTTCATTTCACAATATTCACTACGCAGAGGTTCCACCTGGGTTTCTAAAGATATGTGGCTTTATGAGGTTCCTGTGCCTACTATGGGAGTACCAAGTTGAAACATGGAAGTTCCAGGCTTTTTCACCACCAATGTCTGGAAAGAACTCCAGAGTTTGAATCTTTATGTGAATGGCCAATGTCCACCCTACATAAATATATTCTTTTTCATTTTTAAGACGTAGCGCTTCTCCTGATACATAATCAAATTAGGCTTTATTTAGAAACACTTAAAAACAATAAAAAGACAATAAGTTCTGTATGGATTTGGGTTTTTGAAGTTACCTGATCTTCCCGGGAAGTTCCCTTCTTTGACTGTTGCTTCCTCAAAGCTTCATACTTTTGCTTTTCTCTTCTGTATTCGGCAACAGCACCATCTGGAGTGGCTTCTTCCTCTAAAGAATAGTAGAATATTTTTAGAATAAGCAGTAAAATAGCTCTGTGGATTCATAGCAATGTTTATGCTCCTGTTGCTGAAGAGGAGGTTGGCACTTGGGCTTGGTTTTTTGCCATTTAATTTCAAAAGAAAACCTGTAAGCTCCACCAGCTCTGTAACTACTTCCTAAATTAGAACATGACTGATGTTAATTTATGAGCTGATTTTATACATATATTTACTATACACTGCACTATTGTAATTGTTCTTCTCACATGTCCTTATTTAAGTTGATTATAAAATCGTCTATCTCGCTTTTAAAATAATTAAGGTTTTCCTAAAATTCAGTAATATCATTTTACATTGTTTCCTTGCCTTAGAAGATACAACTTTTCAAATATTGGTTGACATTCCAATTACCTGCAACTTTTGTTCCCCAGTTATAACAATAACAATCTTCAATTTAATGGCATCATAGAAAATAAATACATCTAACAAATAACAGTTAGCAAAAGCAGACAAAACAGTTAGCAAAAGCAGACAAAAATAATCTTTACTGAATTAGAAATTAGAAAACAAATCTATGGGTTTGATCCTGCAATAATTCTATGTGAAGATTAATTAACATCCGGGTTCATAAAACACAGTGTTCCCTCAAAAACAAACAAGCCAATAAACCCAACTAGTAACATTTTATAATACCTTACATGTATAAATATCAATGAAAATTTGTGACTAAAACACACACACACACACACACACTCTCTTCTCTTTAGCTGGAAGACAAATGATAAGCCAGATGTAATCAACAATGCTAGTAATCTTTCTACCAAAGCGTTAGTCTGTTGGTTGTCTCTCTGTTACCTAGCTTGAGGATCATCATGAATATGCAATATATTAACTATCAGTCATTTTGTTCAAGAGATTTTCTGGCCAAAAACAAAAATTTGAACTAAGAAACAAGTTGTCTTTTTGTGGTTACCTAATATGATTTTGGTAGAACTTGGAAGGACAGTTTGGTTTCAAAACTGACAGCTGCAAACATTAAAAACTGAGCACATTAAGGAAAAATGAACCATTAAACATAGAAATACTATCTGAGGCACACATGCCTAGTAAACACTAGTGAAAAGAGTATGCCATCACAATTGGTATACATGAAGTGATTCTTATAGTAGGTTTAAAAGTTACTTTCGGCAGGGCACGGTGGCTCACGCCTGTAATCCCAGCACTTTGGGAGGCTGAGGCGGGCGGATCACGAGGTCAGGAAATCGAGACCATCCTGGCTAGCATGGTGAAACCCCGTCTCTACCAAAACAAACAAACAAACAAACAAACAAACAAACAAACAAACAAAAACATTAGCCGGGCTTGGTGGCAGGCGCCTGTAGTCCCAGCTACTCGGGAGGCTGAGGCAGGAGAATGGCGTGAACCCGGGAGGCGGAGCTTGCAGTGAGTCGAGATGGCACCGCTGCACTCCACCCTGGGCGACAGAGTGAGACTCCATCTCAAAAATAAAAAGAAAATTACTATCATATTTTTCTACTGAATTGCATCTTTGAATACCTCTCTTCTTCTTCTTTTTTTTTTTTTCCTATATTTAGGAAGTTTTTTATTATTATTATTATTATACTTTGAGTTCTAGGGTACATGTGCATAACGTGCAGGTTTGTTACATATGTATACTTGTGCCATGTTGGTGTGCTGCAATCATCAACTCATCAGCACCCATCAACTCGTCATTTACATCAGGTATAACTCCCAATGCAATCCCTCCCCCCTCCCCCCTCCCCATGATAGGCCCCGGTGTGTGATGTTCCCCTTCCCGAGTCCAAGTGATCTCTTCTTCTTATCCTACAGTAGTTAGATTTGCATTGTCCTGGGATAAAGAGCAAGCACTTTAAGATGACTTAGAATCCCTACATGAGGGAGTTAATGTCTTCCTTTCCAGTTACGTCTCTCACAACTCCCTTCCGCATCCACCTTGGTGTGCTTTCATTTGGATGATAACTAGTATTCTTAAATCCTGCTCTCTTGACCAACCATCCACCTTTGCACATGCTTTTCTTCCTTCAGGGATACTGTAAACACTTCATCTCTCCATTCTTGTTAATTCTCTTTGCTTAATTCCGGCTCCTCCTTTAGGTCTCAGCTTGGTTGGCATTTCATGGAGCCTTTTCTGATTCCATTATTGAAGTCTGGTTTAGATGTCTCTCCTTTGAGCTTTCAAAGGACCCTTTAGCACTTATCACACTTTATGGCGATTTCCTGTTTATTCTTCTTTAAACTCACTAGACATTAAACTCCTTGAGGACAAATCATATTTCCCTAGCACTTAGGACAGTGCTTTGGCAAGGGACTCAATAAATAGTCAAATAAATGAAGTAATAATGTAATTGGAGAATGGGAAAATAAGAAGGTGTAGGCCAATTTGCCCTCTTCCCCTCACAAGCCTCAGTCACAGTTCACATTTGTCATGCACCTGGAATCTCCTGTTCCACTGCATTTAGGGAGTCAGTAATTATTTTCTGCCATTTCCTAGGGCAGAAGTTTGTAAAATTCTAAGGAAAATTGTGATGGGTATCCGTCGAACTGTTTAATGTTTTTATGGTTAAAAAAATGCAAAAGAGAAAGGACGAGTTCTTTGCTTACATTTTCAGCTAAAAAAGATTGAAAACCTTTATTTGTGGTAAGAATTTTGCAATAAATGGAAAGGATATAGGTGAATTCTGCTATCTCATGTCATAGGTAAGTTAACCTTACAACCTTCAAAACAGATTCAGCATTGCTTATTTTAATGTGTTTCACACACATCTTCTTGAACACGGTCCCTTTTAGCAAGGACCAACCATTTGATTTCACTTATTAGGAATGTGCAGGAAGTAGGAAAATGTTTAAAAAGTGCTATAAAGAAGCCTTAAAAATCAATTTTAAAAAGTCAAGGATAGGTACATTTAAGTACATAATAAAGCATGGAAATTTTGTAGCTATGTTGTTTATAATACTAAATGGCTTTTTAATAACTTAGAAATAGTAGTCACCTCATTTAGGAAACTAAATGCATGTAATGATAGAATTTTTAAAAACAGCTGTACTGAGGTAGGCGTTCCATATAGTAAAATTCACTAATTTTGTATATAAAATATGATGACTTTGGTATTGTATAGAGCATATAACTTCCACTGCAATCAAGATCTAGAAAAGTTCCACATACCCTACAAAGTGTCCAAATGTCACTTAGTCGGTTTTCTTCTGGCAACAAGGCATCAGCGATCTGCTTTCTGGCACCACATTTTTGCCATTACTAGAAACTCATACAAATGGGATCATACAGTATGTAATTTCTAATGTCTGGCTTATTTTGGTGAGCAACTATTGTTGAGATTCATCCACGTTCCTTTGCATAACTGAATAGTATTTCATAACATGGATGTACTCTAATTTGTTTATTTTGAGTTGCTTACCATTTTTGGCTACTATAAATAATGCCTCTTTAAACATTTACACACACAAGTTTGTTTGTGGACATATATTTTCATTTCTCAGGGGTAAATACCTAAGAGTGTGATTGCTGAGTCAAGTGCTAAGTGTATGTTTAATTTTATATGATACTGCCATACTGTCGTACAAATGGCTGCACCATTTTGGCTGCATCATTCCTATCGCAATGTAGGAGAGTTTGAGTTGTTCCACATCTCCAAATATATCTGGTATTGTCAGTTAACTGAGTATTTTAGAGAGTATGAAATAGTATCTTGTGGTTTCTAGTGTTATTTTTCTGATAAGTGATATTACATTTTGTATGTGCTTGTTGGCCATTTATGTATCTTCTTTTGTGAACTGTTTATTCAAATCTTCTATTAATTTTTTTGTCTTATTAATCAGTTATAAGAGTTTTCTTATATATTCTGGATACAAGTCCTTTGTCAAATATATATTCTGTAACTTATTTATCTCAGTCTGATTTCTCTTTTCATTTTCTTAAGGGTATCTTTCAGAGAGCAAAAGTTAAAATTAGATAAACAGCATTTTATCAATATTTAAATTTCATACATCACACTTCTTGTGTCTTACCTAAAAAATCCTTATTTGCTTCATGGTCTCAAAAGTTTTTTCTAATGCTTTCTCTTAGTAGTATAAAATTTTAGTTTTTCTGTTAAGGTATATAATTTATTTCAAGTTGATTTTTATGTACGGTGTAAGGTAAGGGTTGAGATTTTTTTTTTTTTCTATACAGACATCAATTGTTCCAACATTATATGTTACAAAGGCTTTCTTACCTCCAGTGAATGACCTTGGCACCTTTGTTGAAAATCAATGGACCATATATGCATATCTATTTCTATACACTCTCTTCTGTTCCATTAATCTATGTCTCTCCTTGTGCCAGTAGTATACTGTCTTGATTACTGCAGGTTTATAGTAAGTCTTGAATCAGTTAGTGTAAGCCCTCTAACTTTGTCTTCTTTTTCACAACTTTTTGGTGATTTTTGTTCCTTTGCCTTTCCACATAAATTTTAAAATCAGCTTGACAATTTCTTCAAATAAGTCAGCTAGGATTTTGACAGTAGCTGCATTGAATGTATAAATTAATTTGGGGAGAACTGCAATATTAACAATAGTGAATCTATCAAAGTTTTACTGACTTAACCTGCCATGTTGAGGTCTGTAATACATCCTTTTGGTTCCAACCATCATGTACAGTCATGGTGCTGGTGTGAGATATGAGTGAGGAGTAGCTATTTACTATCATCTTTGTGACTATCTCAGGATTAATATTTCAGAAATAGGAACGTTTTGAAACAAGTATAGGAATTGTAAAAATGACTGGCTGATATGCTAGAAGAAATAACATGAAATAGTAAATATAAATAAGCAATTTTCATAGAATGGGGAGCAAACAGCAGTACCTCTCTTCCACCAAAATATCTTGGGAATTTAACAAAAAAGAAGATACATGCAACGTAATTAATTCTCACATCAAGACTCACTGAACAAACCAATGAACAACTTCCAATC